GATTGAGAAAACAACCGACCACAGAAGACAAAGACATCATACAAAGGACCTTACAAAAATTCAGCAAAAATACCACACAGATACAGCAGAAATCAAAGCAAAATCAGACAAAAATACAAGTCAAGCCATCAACAGACACAACGAGAACCACCTAGGGAGTGACGGGTGCACACAGGGATCCCCACAGAGGGACCCCCGAGACGGTGCCTACCTACGACGAGCGCAGGCAGACACCGCCAAAGTGGCGCTGGATGTGGTCAGCATTCATCTGATGGACCAGAGCCGCAAAGCGACCCTTCCACCGAGGAACAAAGGCCTCATCCAGCCCCGGCTGGTACACACCACGGGCCTCGGCGCAGCGGGCGAGCTGACCAAGCAGATCCACAAAGGAGGAGGCGAACCCACCGGTTGTCGTCATCGCCGCAGGGACGATCAGAGTTTTTCCATGGTTGAAACCGGTTTAGTAGTCGCGCTTCTCCTTTTCGGCTCGGCGAAGGGCAGCGCCCACCTTGATGCAGGCTTGCGAGGTGGTCGGGGGTTGGGCTGTGCGCACAGTCACGTCAATGCCCAGGTCGGGCAGAGCTGGGCCCAGGGTACCGCCGGGAAAGGGGTTGCGGCAGTGCAGGTCGATGCGGCAGCTCTGACCGTTGGCGTTGTAGCCAGACTTTTCCACCCAGACATGGGAGAGGGTGGCGTACCTGAGCAGGCGGCCCATCTCGTCGCGAAGGGCGTTGTGACGCTTGATACGGCAGGTCAGCAGGTGCTCGCGGGTCAGTCGCGGCTGAGGTGTCTTGCTGCTGCAGAGCGGGCACTTGTCCGTCGGCTTGACGTTGATGAGTTCATGGAGGCCAAAACCCATCATGGACACGACTGCAATGGCAAAGGTCGTGTCGCTCAAGCGACGCAACTTGTCCCGACCCCGCATGGTCAAGACAGTGCTGACGCCCCACTCACGTGAGGCCAGATATGCCTGCTGCAGGTCCAGCGCACACTTGGCCATCAGGTCGTCCAGTGCCGCCTTGGAGCGGAGGGCAATGATCTCCGCTGGTCGCTGGGTCGCCGCGTCCTTGACCGTGGCCATCTGGAAGCCGGCCCGCTGCACGTGGGCCTCAAAGTCGGCAGCCCTCGATGCATCCTCCAAAAGTCGATCGTAGACCCGAGGGTAGCGAGTGGCCAGCTTGGCCATGTTGCAGACGTACTGGATTCGATCGAGCCTGATCTGGATGTACCGGGTCGGTCTCGGCCTCTCATCCATCGAGCCGGGTCTACTCGTACCTGGGCTCATGAGGCCAGGTCCGATCGAGCCCGATCTGCACAGAGACATCAGAACCTGCCCCATCAGTCTCGGTCCGGAGCCGATCGAGCCCGATCTGCTCGAACCTGGATTCGATCGAGCTCGATCTGCACGGTTTGGATCCAATCGAGCCCGACCTGCACGGGCCGATCTAAACGAGCCTGCTCCGTCTCGGCCTGGAATCGATCGGTCCCGGGTCTGCAAGGACCTGATCTCATGACCTCTGCTCTGATCGAGGCTGTTCTGCACGGGGCGATCTGATCGAGCCTGCCTGCTCAGTCTCAGCTCGATCTGATCGGGGCAGATCTTATTCAAGGTGTCCGTGCAGTACAGTGCAATGTGTGCGGACAAAGCGATTGTTAGAGAGGTATGCAGCCAATCGAAGCGTGTGAGCGTCAAATCCGTGCTTCCACGCATTTGAGCACTCCCGCTGCTTTTGTACACACGCCGTGTCGGTGACTACGGGCTTTCCCTTGGGAACTCCAGTAGTGGGTCAAAAACCCACTAATAACCCCCATAGCTGCTATGGCCTCACGCCCCGACTCACACACCTACACCTCGACCTACTGAGCCTGTTCCCTCTCATGGGGGTCACATGAGTAAACACCGCGTGCATCGCGGGCCTCGCGATCCCTGGCCAGCTGCCTTGAGGCGATAAGCTTGTGACTACTGTTGTTTCTCTTTGTTGTGACACCTGCGGTCGGGCACGGGTTGCACTTTCCCTATCCTCTGGATTGAGCAACTCTAGAGTGTGAAGGGTCCCCCCTAGCCTTCACACACCTCTACAGCTATTTTAACGGTGCACCTGGTCTGGTTACTGTGAATGCTTGCCGACCGCAGCTGATTCAATTGACCTCAAGACACCAATAAAGCCTCCGTTCCGTCCCAGCGGACGTCGCTCAAACCTCTCTCAAGAGCGCTTCCTCAAACCTACGATGTCTGGAGCCTGACACATTGTGTAACACATCGTTCCCATTCAGTCGAGTCGTGTTACAAATGATATCGCCAATGTGGCTGCATCCACCGACAAGCCTTGCAATGTTGCTCTACTGCAGATCAAATGTGCTTTATTTGGTATTTTCGAGAGAAGTGCCGTTTCGCTGAGTCTGGAGCACTCGAGTCGCTTCAAAATTTTAAAAATTTATATTTTTACATGTTACAGTCACCGAGGGTTTTTTACCTTTGGACATTTGTTACCAAAAATAAATTTTTCAAATGTTGTCAAAAATGGTTGTTGGAGAGGAGGTCGCACCTAATAGGGGTGATTTGTTGGATGGCGGTCGGCGTTGATTGTGGTCAGATCTCAGCCCACTTGGGATGATTCGAACCGCGCAGATCTGTTGAATTTGTCAGATGCCATTTTGTGAGCGTGGCTGCCCTACATCACGAGTTATATTATTGTTTTGTTTCTTCTATAGGACGTGCCTGCTCTGGAACTTGTGAGAACTTGATACACGACGTTTCTCGTCTATCGGGGACGGTGGTGCAGGGAGGCTTGGGCAACCAGCGTTTCAAAGATGCTCAATTAGGTAGGGCGAGAAAAAATCAGTAGAAAAGTGGGTTTTCGTGCAGTGGTGGCGGTTGTAATAAATAAGGTTCAATTCGTGTTATTTTTAAGACGTGGAAGTATGGGGCTCTAGTGCAATCAGTGAGTCGATATACGCCTTGTACTTTTTGGCACTCGCGTCGCAAGCCTTGATGAGCAAATCAATTTCATTCTGGTCTGTATTTGAGCTGGCCAGAGGCGCGGCTGGCGCGTTTGATTCAGGGCTTGTTGCGTCCTGAAATGGTTGAGTTTGAGAGGTATAGTCTCGGAGCCAAAACTGGAGATCGGAGTCTGCAAAGTGACCTCCGACACGCGCAATAGGTTCTTGAGGCTCCTCTTCAACGATTCGGTCAAGAGAAGGTGCTGCTGATGCTGCTGTAAGAGTGGGCGGGGTTGAATCTGAGGGAAGTGAATTTCGGTCATCACGCGGCGGAGACGCGGGCATGGGGGTGAGCTCGGCGTCCTCTCGGGACTCAATCTGCGCCAAAGGGGTTGCCAAAGGCTCGATTACCTCCCCAGCTGGCCTGCCAGGCGATAAGGGAGTGGTTGGGGGCTGTGGGAGATCGAGTTGTGTCCTTGTGCGTGCGATGAGCTCAGCACGGCTGCCAGTCGTGCCGAGGCAATGCGATCGACATAAGCTTTTCAGGTTGGCAATCGTGATGCGTTGTACGTTTAAAGCAGCACGTAGATCAGCGTCATTTGCCACTCTTGTTGCTCGTCGTTCCCTCGACGCATGAAGATGAACACGGCGCCGCTCACGCCCTTCGAGATCTGTGGCGCTTGGCCCCGATGACATTGGCCCAAAAATGGGGGCACGTCGCCGTCGTGACCGCTCTTGAGGCGTGATGCGATCGAGTAGGCGGCGCTGACGCGGCGTTGAGCGAATCATATCTTGATGACGCTCTTCAAGGCGCGAAAAACTCGCAGCCAGACGATCGAAGTGCGCCCGGCCTTCATCAAGACTCCAATTGGCGTCCCAAACCCGTACCAGTGGCTGCGGCGTTGTGTTTGACGGAGTGCTTGAACCAGATGGCGTGCTTGCCGGGCTTTGGGGAGGCGTCACTGCTGTATCCTCGGGTTCAACGTGTGAGGGTTGGTTTTTCATGTGTCCAACAGCTCGCTCCAAGCGCGTAATGCCTGCATGGCGGAAGGCAGCCTGTACCCGTTTGACTTGACTGCTTTGAAAGTGGATGGCAAAATAAAGAGCACACAATTCCTCGTCGAGGGTGGCTGCCTCTCCAACTAGCTGCCGTGAATGGCGCAGTGTATAAGAAATGCGTGTCCGATTGATATGTTGATGCCATTGATCATTCGGGGATAGGCAATGGCTCGTATTCGGGGGGATCAAAAATAAAAAAATGTTGATCGAGCGAAGGTAGTTGGTGACTGCAAGCGACATGCGGGTGCTGTGTCCATCCGAAAGCAGAATAATGGGCTCGGTATGCCCGAGAAAAGATCTGATTCGTCGACAAAAGGCAACGAAGGGGTGGCGATTGATCCAACCACTTTTCGTTGAACAGCAAAAAAAATGCGAATAGTCTGGGTTGCCCGTGATTGATTCGGGGAGCTGTGCCGGCCCAACCTCGTCTCCTCCAAGACCACGATTTGCATGAATCACCATTGGCGGCAACACGGTCCCATCCATTGCAATGCTGAGAACCAGCGTGATCGTCTCATTGTAGGTTCGTCCGGGAAGACACCCTTGATCTACAGTTCGGTCGGCTGAGGAATACACCTTGACATTCCTTGTGAATCCGGCACGGAGACCAGGCATCTCATCCACCCATAAGATACGGCCAAGACCTGGGGCCGGCATGAATAAGAACAGACATGCATCAGGAGGATACAAAAGTATGTTTGCAGCACATGCAGACGTAGACAGGCAGCAGCGCTCGCGCTGTCTAGGAAAGTCAACTTACAGTTGGTTTTGATCATGCCAGCATGACGCCCTGAGCGATGAACGAAGTCAAGGTCTGCCAAGAGCTCGTCAAGACTCGAAAAATGTCGTGTACAAGCCTCAGCTGTTGCGGCTGTTACTCTTGCTGGATTCTGAGTCACCGCGGTGGTAAGATAAATGTTCGAGTCGGACTCCAATCCTCGAAACCAGTCATTGCTCAAACGCGCCCTGGCTCATGGGGTGTC